ACTACCATTGAGCACACGGCACACGGTAAGCCTCGTAGCTCAACTGTAGAGCGTTGGTTGCTCAAAAGTTTTGCCTACTGTGAGTTCGACTGCCACCGAGGCCGCGACGTTTTCACATTCATGTCAACTGAATTAAAAAGTCTGCCGAACCTCCCCTAATAAATCAAATTTGTTTTTTTTTCGTGTGGGCTTTGTTTGTATTATTCGATCAAGGCTCTCAGAAAATGACACATTTTGCCTCTAGCTTGCTAGCTTGCATAACATTGAACTAAAAGCTGGCTAAACATTTGTCACCTAGTCACTACCCCTGAGATGTGCGGCCTATGCGGTGAGCCTGGGCTATGACACGGACACAATCGCTACCATGGCCTGTGCCATTGCTGGGGCCTTCACTGGTGCTGACGTGATTTTCGATGCGTCTTCAAGTGGAACAGTACATTTTCCGACGAGAATAATGACGGTATGTGAGGGTCTCCAGCGCGTCAACGGCTACGCTGAATGGCTTTTCAAACACTACGAGGAGCCCAGTGCCGACAGCCACTAATATTTTCCCGCTTCATCTTTTGCTCTCGCTTTGTTACTTTATTTGTCTTGAGTGTTCTGCAAATCTATTCTTTTTATTTTGAAATAAATCTCCTATTCCGCTTTCTACTTGTGTGTTAACTCATATGGGCTGTTGGTTGAGTTTTCTGTCCAGCTTTTTTTTTCGGGTTCCCTTCCTGACTGCACTGCTTTCCATAATGAACTGTGGCTTGTCGTATTTAGACATTTCCCCTGAGAGCCCGCTGTGTTTATCGAATAGCAGTGCTAAGAAGTCCTCCACTCCCAGCCCCCGAAGCCGACTTCGTTCCGACCTGGATGCCGAATGTGCCATTTTGCTCTTTTATGTCCCACTACCAATCACCGATCTAAGAATGTTCTTCGATCTGGGTTGGTGAAGGGGGAGGGAGGTTTGCGACGCCTTCAGTCCTGCTGGCTTTTCAAGGCCTTTCAGAGAGGCGGGGAGAGAGAGAGAGAGGATGAAGATCGCACAGGAGGCCTCATATGCACCTTGTTGTTGACGTTTACTTCAGTCTGAGTACTTAGTTCAGCTGATTTTGGCCCTTCTCCAGGTTTGGCGCCGGAATATGAATCCCCGCAAGTGATACGAATGTTATCCCTAACCAGAGCCAGAACCGGAACTCTAACTACAATATCCGTGAACTTGCCCACAAGACCATCTAGATTTAGAAGGGGGTGGGGGAGGGGGAGATTAACAATTACCCTGTGTTACCTCTTTGTATTTATTTGCTTAATGGAAACAGTGTTAAGTTAGGCTGGAGTAAGTTTTAGTGTAACTTAGGCATGAGCGAATCATTTTCAAAACGGAACTCCGATACTGCTTCATGTTGAAGCCTTCCGTTGTCCATCACTAGTTCCGAATTCATGCGACATTGTGCACTGTAGCACATCATATGGTGAGCTAAAAAATGTAAGCCGTCGCGGATAATTTAACAGGTTGTCTGCTAAGGTGATGGTTTACTACTTCTGGGTGGTTGATAGGATCGTCAAACTCGAACCTCACGGTGAATTCGCTCAGGTCACACCCGATGTTATCAATATCTGCCAAAATTCGGAGCTAAACTTGGTTTTCAGAGGCGTACCAGATACCACTCATGATTGTCAATAACTGTACGGATAATAGTCTTGCAGTGGTCCGTGTACGTTTGGTGTACTTACTAGGACCAAAACGACGTTTAATCGATAAACAAATGAGTATATTTTCGTTCCGGCAAGTCTGCCTCGTCTCGTGAACTTATATCGAGCGCAGTTTCCTGTTTTAGATGCGTTAGTAAATGATTTTTGAATTTTAAAACAGACCATTGTTGGATGTTTTGGTTAGGAATTTTCATTACCAACCTGATGTCAACTTCTGGTAAATATACACGGCCTAGGTCTTCACGTTAAAACTACTCTTGCGTGACTACAACAGAGCGAAAGACGCAGTGTTATCCGGTATGTCGGTTATCCTGTGTTTTTGGATTGTACTGTGTTGAACTCCCAGATGAGTCAAGAATCCTGGTAAACATTTTTTGCGCAGTGCAAAAGGAGTTTAGATTAAGAGGAATACGCAGTCGCCTGTTTAGGTCTATTTTTGCTGATCTCACGACTTCTTATACAGAACAAACTTCTTAAACCCTTATATCTTAAACTAAGAAGACACAAAAGCCAAGGACCTATTGGCGAAAGTCCGATATCATTTTATATAAGAGAAGGCAAACGTGACATGAAGATGCAATTCATTAGCATTTCACACGAAGGCAAAAGAGATGCGATGACCCAATACAGTAGTCGCCGGCTATTAAGCCCACCTCGGGCCCAGACCAAATT